ATGATGATGTAGAACTGCCTCACTCCCAAAATTTCCTCACGAACCTCCCTGAACCCTAGCCCTTGGAAAACACTGCTCTGTAAACCTACTGAGTTATTTTTAAGTTTTTAATTTATAATACATTCACACTGCTTAAAAATCAAATCCGTGTGAAAATATATCCTTGACCCTCTGCTCTCCTGCAAGTTCACTTTTATTTCTTTCTTTTATATCCTTCCAGTATTTCTTGATGCCAAAAAAAGGTAATGTACTTATTTTTTCATTTTTCTTATATAGAGTTAGCATATGATACACAGTTTGCACTGTACTTTTTATTCATTTTTAAAAAACAATGTACCTTTGAGAGCTTTCCAATTTAGTACTGTGGCACAGTGTTTTGTGCTGTGGATACACCGTCTAGTTTGTTTAGCTACTTCACTATAGATGAACACTTAAGTTGTTTCTAGACTTTTGCAAATTGTGCTGTGATGAACATCCGATATATATTTTGTTTTATACATCTGCAAGTATATCTACAGGATAGATTCCCAGAAATGGGATTGCAAGCTCAAAAGGTTAAATGTATTTTAATTTTGATTATCCTTGGTACTACTGGTAGAAGCTACACCAAGTAATTCCACTGGAAAAGTACCTGGATATTTCCTTAAAGCTTGCCCACAGAGTTATGTGCTCAAACTTTCTAGGGTCTTTTGTTGTTGTTTTTTTGATAGATGAAAAGTGGTGTTTCAGTATAGTTTCATTTTTTTTTCTTATTATGCATTAGGAGGCATTTAATCTTTTGTAAGGGTCAAGTCTATGTGTTTGCCATTTTTTAAAAAAAATATTTTATTGATTTTTTTACAGAGAGGAAGGGAAAGGGATAGAGAGTTAGAAACATCGATGGGAGAGAAACATCGATCAGCTGCCTCCTGCACACTCCCCTACTGGGGATGTGCCTGCACCCAAGGTACATGCCCTTCACTGGAATCGAACCTGGGACCTTTCAGTCCACAGGCCAACACTCTATCCACTGAGCCAAACTGGTCAGGGCCCTACTCGATTCTTATGACCGGAATCGCGACCCCGGGCTTGCAGTCGGCAGGCCGATGCTCTATCCACTGAGCCAAACAGGTTAGGGCTACCATTTTTTTATTGTCTTATTTATTATCCTTTAAAACAGGGGTCCTCAAACTATGGCCCACGGGCCACATGCGGCCCGCCAAAAACATTTATCCGGCCCCCCGGGTGTTTTTGCCGCAGCTGCCTGTCCTGCTTAGCAGCCGACTCGTCCCGGGCCCACAGTGCGCATGTGTGGAATGTCTGAGGGATAGTGAACTGGCCCCTGTTTAAAAAGTTTGAGGACCTCTGCTTTAAAATATAGGAATGGGATTATCCCATTTTATTAGTCTTTTACCATGAAGATAAAATGTTATTTATTGTATGACTTCTGAATTTGAGTCATAATTTTAAAAAATACCTCTCCATTTATTTTCTAGCTTTTATAACTTATTGCTTCTACATATAAATCTTTGATCTATTTTGCATTTGCCCTGGTATGTGATATGGATCTAACTTTGTCTTTTTCTAGATTTTTACCCAGTTGTCCTAACACTAATATCTTTATTTTATATTGTCCTTTAGGTTGATGATGATTTTCCTCAGTTTTTGGGGCTTTAACCTTTGGTTGCTCTATTTGCATATTCTCATTCATATTGATTATTTATTTTGGGTTTTGTAAACCAGTCTATTTATTTTACCGTGGGTTCATCTTCAGTGAGCTTGTTTTTTTTGTTGTTGTTTGTTTGTTTAGTTTTTAATCTGTGAGAACCTCGAGGATTGTAAGTTTCAAGTATTTCATTTGCTTCTTCCATGCTCCCCAGACCCCAGTCAGAGAAAGGCAGGCTTCTTTGTTTCCTTTTCCAATGATTAGGAGTTTTATCTTAAACTCCCTTACAGACTGCGGCAGTCCTCCGGAGGTCACGTCTTGGCTCTGATTCCCTTCTCGTGGCTCGTCTCCTGTTGCTGTGTGCATGGTAAACCCTGCCCTGTGCTTCCTGGTAGGAAGCTCGCCCAAGGGTTCCCACTGCAAATGTTTGTATGCTTGCTTCTTTTTTTTAGGTTCCTTCTCATTTCTGGCGCATGGGATCCCCTTTCTTTCTTGTAATTTCATTGTACATTTAAAGGGATTATTTTAACCAGAATTTCATCCGATTTAGAACTAGAGACTTTTGAAGTTCCATAATTTTCTGGGACCCCCATGTGTTTTACACTCTAGGAAATAACCTGTGTCCAGAGTGGGCTGTCTTTTCGTGGCCTTCACACATGTTAGTTTTTGTTATTGTTGTTGTTTCCCCTGAAATGGTCTGCTTTCCTCCCACCATCCATCCTCCTCCCAAATCATTATCACCATCATCTTCAAATTCCAAATTACTGAGGGGAGCTTTTCCAGCTTCACCATGCAGATTAGGTAGGTTCTCCTTACATTCTACTAGTCTGATAATACCCAAAATATATCAATTTTGTTCTTATCTCTGTTGGGTTATTCCCTTCTGGGTACTGTGATTGCAGGATGGTTTTTATTTCTCTTTTTTGGTGTGTGTGTGTGTGTGTGTGTGTGTGTGTGTTTATCCCCTGGTATGGACTGAGCTCTCTGAAGGAATAGATTCTGTGTTATTAGTCATTATGCGCCAGTGCTTTGCACAGTGTCTTTCTAGTGCACAGGGATTTATTTGGCCTGTGGGGCTGGTAGATTTCAGGAAGGGCTGATCTTATCTCAAGGATTGCCTAAAAATAGAATTTCTCAGGATGTCTCCTGCCTGAGCTATCACATGAAAACCGTGTTCTAGCTATAAGATCCTCATTTTGATAGTTTTATACCTGATTACAGCTGGTTTCACTTTTCTTTGAATTAGCGAATGTCTTCTGAACTATAGAACAAACTGCCCATTACTAGTTCTAAAAGTAGTGATCTATTTGTGTTTTAAGTTTGTTTTGTTCGTTGTTGTTTTTTTTTTTTGTGTGTGTGTGTGTGTTTTTACAGTATGCCATATTTTTAGTTTATAGAACATAATATTCCTATACTAACAGGCCCAATAGTGTTTTCTTTTTATAAATGAGATGGTTTTACTGGTTATAAAATTCAAGTAGAAAGGGTTTGAAGGTTAGAAAATACCCATTTTGTTAAAATAACACATAGCATGCCAAAGACATCTTTGTAATTGCTCCAAAAGCAAAGCTGACATTATACCAAGAAGTTAATGGCTGACGTTATTTCACATAGTCAAAGACTGTGCAAGTGGGTGCCGAACTGCCGTGCAGAAGCAACTCAAGTGGCCTGAAAGAGTTGTAGGTTTTCTCCTGGGATTATATAAAATAAGAAATCCATAGGTGTGTGGTGCAACTTCTTGTAATGGTTCTTTGCCACTTACCAGATGTTTCTGCTGTTGGGAGCAAGTCCTAATTAGATATTTCTTAATTTTTTTCTTTAACTGAGATGAGAAAGAGTGCTAGATATTGGTAATGGTGGCTCGGCAACCTAGTTCTTTAGGCATTTGTAATTTTACACACTCATGTCTGACCAAGACATGATAACTACACATTTACAGGAAAACCTAATTACCAACAAAAAAATGTTGCAATGATATGAATGTTTTGAGAAATATCAAGAGGATCAAAGATACATGACCGCTGGGTACACTGGCTCTTGTATCTCTAAGGAGGTGCTAATTTTGCCTCTGCCTGAGGCTACCCAGCAGGAGCTATGGAGAGATCTGCAGATTCCTCTTCCTTGTTTGGGTTTTGGAGGTGCCCAGATGAGGCCCAGCTATGAAGTAATGCAAGCTTCTGTGAGGCCTTGGGCCTTCTTTTGGATGTTCTGGGTCTCTGACCCAGCTGCAGTTTGTTAGGTAATTTTCAGATTGCAAAGGGCCAGGCCTTTCATATGCAAAAGCCTCTGCGCATAGCTTGGGTGGGCCGGGGTCTCAGGGAATCAGCAGGGCGGAGCAAACAGCTATGGCAGCTCCTCAGTCCTACTCTAATAGGCCCCGCGTCTCAGTGTCCCGTGGTAATCGCTGCAAGCACCTCTGAGAGAAAGCTGCCCTTGAGTTCCGCCTGCTGCCAGACAGTCCAGTTTCTCCCCGTATGAGTCTGGGTCCCCAGAGACTCGCCAGGAACTAGAGGCAAGAGCAGTCGGGAGCTTGAGACTCCCTCCCGATTGAAAAAGACATCTGCGTCCTCAGTTGCCAGCCCTTTCAGCGTGCGCCTCCGTACCTCTGCACTTTACTTCTGCACCTCCTCTGAGTCTCAGTGTGCTTTTCTCTTTCCTTCTAGTTGTAGAATTTCCACTCGTCCAGCCTTCCTGTGGTTCTGGGTGATGTCCGCTTTGTCTTTTAGTTGTATTTTTGAAGTGGTTGTGCAAGGCAGCAATTTCCGGTGTTTACCTATGCCACCATCTTGGTTTTTTTATTTTATTTTCTAGACATTTCTTTTAAAGGTTGATATATTTTTTAGATCTCCCCTTCATGTGCTCTAACATAGACAAACCAATATTGCATTAAAATTAGAGAAAACTGAGCATTTCTGTACTTCTTTCTATATGCTTAAAAAAATGCATCCTTGGCAGCAGCGGCCTCTCAGGGGTAAGAAATGGAGCTCTCTGGAACTTCTGGCTCTTTCCTTCCTTTGCAGGGCAAAGGTAATCTTGAAAGATAATCAGAGATGCCCCCTGAAAGCATTCGGTCATGCTTGCTTTAACTTCTTGTGAAATTTTCCTTTTTCCTGCTTGGAGTTTTGACCTAAAATTCTCATGTGATCTAAGCAGGACTTGAAATATATGTCGTTGTAGGCTTTTCTTTTCTAGGTCTCTTCTCTGTATTTACAGGCGACCTTCCCTTTAGAAAAGGCTATGGCCTATTTTCAATGAAACCTGGGGGACTTCCTCTGGTGGGACCTGGAGGACAGGTTATAGAGTATAAATGTTTGATTTTAGTCTATGACTCTTAATTTTTCTCTCTGTCCTACAGGGGAAGGTGTGGCTAATCGATTTTAATCCATTTGGTGAGGTAACAGATTCACTACTGTTTACCTGGGAAGAACTGATATCTGAACGAAACTTAAAAGGTGATTTTAGTGAAGGTGCTCTGGAGCAGGTAAGATGGTAAAAGTAAAAATATAAAGGAAATATTTTAATCTTAACATTTGCTAGTTCTCTAGGCACTTGGATAGGCAGTGGCTTGTACTCTTGGGTAGTACAGAATATAACAAACTTACTAATAGATTCTTGCCCATGCAAGTGAGCAAGAAACGGTGTGCACACGTGATTCATTCATTTAACTTCCTTTAAAGAAATAATGGTCATCTGATATATTTTTTTCTGATGATTTTTTTTCTTGGAGCCGTGTGTCCTTGACCCCAAGTTCAAGTGGCCCTCATTACAATGTCTTGTTTCCCTCATCAGCTCCTCTTCCATCAGCCACAGTGGCCATTTCACACATTTCCATGCTCCTCTGAACCTCTGGCTTCCTTTTCTTCTCAGCAGAGATTTCATGTCCTTCTTCAAAGGAGAAGATAATCCATTGGTGGGATCACTCAGTTTCATTGTCAGGAAGCCTCCAGCCTTGTCTGCAGCTGTCCTTCTAAGTCTCACCTCCACCTGCCCAACATACCATTCCTTCCCATCTCTCGCATACCTTGTGCTGTCATGTATCTCCTTTCCTGTTTTTCCTGTCTCTTTATCTCTACCAACTCCCACCACTCAGTAGTTAATCATGTTCAGATATCTCATCTTAAAAAGACAAAATCTTTAAGCCCATATCTTCACCTAGCTACTCTCTCCTTTTTTTTTTTTCTCATCTTCACAGCCAAACTTTCTTGAAACAACTTTGGAAAGCTTTGTTCTTCCTATAAAAGTACTACATGCTCATTTTTAAAGAAAATTCTAAATCACCCATAAAACTACTGCCTTGAGACCCACTGCTTATATTTTAATACTAACATGTCTTTTCCACGTACAGATAAACTTGTTTAAATAAATGAGATTATACTACATATGAATTTATGTATCTCAAGTTTTTCATTTAGTATTATCTTGTGAGTATTTGAGTATTTTATATCTTTTTTAAAACAGTTTTTGCCCTGGCCGGTGTTCTCAGTAGTTAGAGCATTGGCCCACACAGTGAAGGGTCTTGGGTTCAATTCCTGGTCTAGGGCACATACCTGGGTTCCAGGTTCGAATCTCTGGTTAGGATGCATGTGGGAGGCAAGCAAATAATGTGTCTCTCTCACATCATTGTTTCTCTCTCTCTATCCTTGCCCTGACTGGTTTGTCTCAGTGGATAGAGCGGCGTTCTGCGGACTGAAAGGTCCCAGGTTCGATTCCGGCCAAGGGCATGTACCTTGGTTGCGGGCACATCCCCAGTAGGAGGTGTGCAAGAGACAGCTGATTGATGTTTCTCTCTCATCGATGTTTCTAACTCTCTATCCCTCTCTCTTCCTCTCTGTGAAAAATCAATAAAATATATTTAAAAAAATATATCCTCAGGTGAGGATTAACAAAAAATAATATAAAAAAATTAAAACAAAGTTTGTTGTTTAGCATGGTCATTTAAAAAAAGAGAGAGGGAATTAGAAAGAGGCAAGACTGGAAATCCTACCACCTCCAAATAGCCATTCTTATCACTTGAGTTAATATATTCTCCAGACATTTTTTTCTATGGATGCACCATACATTTTTACATAGTGGGATCATACTAGTTTCCCTCATACGGTTACGTAACTTGCTTTTTTGTAACTACTCAGTAATTGTACATCCGGCACAGCCACTTCCTTACATGGTCATCTGTCCTTGCTGCCTGCTGCTTCTCATTTCACCTGTCACTCCCCAGCCCAGTGAGCCTCAGTCCCTGCCACCCACATCGACTGCTCTTGGCAAGGGCTCCCCTGCTTTGTTGCTAATTCCAGTGAACGACCCACTGCCCTTCTCTCACCCAACCGCTTGGCACCATTTGAACGTGTTACCCTCTTGTTCTTACAGCATCTCTTCCCTCAGCTTCTGTGGCATGTTCTCCCTTCTGGGTTTCTTCCAGCTCTTCTGGCTGCTGCTTTGCCTTCAGTGTGACCATCTTTCCTTTTGTCCATCTCCGAAGTAATTTTTTTCATCATTACTCTGTCCTGGGCCTTCTTTGGGCCTGTTTCTCTAGATCTGACTCAACTAGATGCTTTTTCCCTGTCAAGGCACTTGCCCACACGTGATGCCTGCCTGTTGACTTGCCTGTGTCCTGCTTTAGACTCCAAGAGTAGAGTCTCTTGTTCTCCACGTAGCTGAGGGCTTAGCACAATGCCAGGCACAACTAATGAGTGTTGAGTTAGTGAGAGAAGGAATTTTATCCCTGATGGCATCTTACAGTTGTGGGCTGTTAAATCTGAGTGTCTAGAAGAAGAATGTAAATTATTCAGCACAGGGTTATTTATAAATATGGGGGATACAGTTACTGAATAGAAACAGTTTGTATAAGATTCAATCTATGATCCAAATAATATGATTGGATCTTTCTTTTTTCTTACTCTATCTCTCTCTCTCTTTTCTTCCTTCCTTCCCTTCCTTTTTTCTTTTTTGCTTAATTTAAACAACATTATATTGGCAGTTGGGGAAACGGGAACTGCTCCTGCCTTTGCCCAGCTTCACCTCCTGCCTAGTTTCCACTCCACAGAAACCTTCCTGTCCTTCTGTTTCTTGAAGCTCCAAGCCCTGCCTCTCTGCATTGGTTGTTCCACTGCCTTCAGAGCCGTGCTCTGCTCCCAGACCTCCCAGGCTTTTTCTGTCATACGTTCCAGCTCTCAGTCCAGACATCCCCTCTTTCGCAAGGTCTTCCCTAGCAGACTACCTGGTTCTCTGTGATAGCCCGTGGTTTTGTTTTTATAACACATTGTACTATCTGAAATAACATTGTTAGTTTATTTGTTTGCTTGCTGATTGGCTGTCTACCTGTCTTGTTTATCAGTTTATCTTCCAGACCTAGAAAAAGGTCCAGTACAAAGTAGGTGTTTCATAAATATCTGTCAGATGATTGGTCTGTCTGTCAAAACTGTGGCCTGCTTTCTAGGTCTTGTTCCATTCAAGCTGTGCTGGACACATCCATCCCTCAGCTAGATATCCATCACCATGAAGTCCAAACCCAAGGCCTTCTGTCTCTGAAGTCCTTTTCTGCACAAGGCAACATGTAAATATTATCTGCAGGCCCTAAGCAGGTACAGCTGACTCTTAAACACCATGAGTTTCCACTGCGTGCGTCCACTTACACTTGGATATTTCCCAGCTGACCCATGCAGTTCAAACCACATTGCTCGAGGGTCAGCTCTGCGGTTGGAATCTGCACATGCTGAGGCTGACTGTAGTTACATGAAGATTTTCAAGTGCTTAGGAGGTCGGTGCCACCACCCTCCCTGTTGTCAAGGGCCAACTGTACATGAAAGAATGTAAAGACGTGTTCAGTATGATACTTGGATTTGCATGTTGCTTGCAGTTTTACATAGGTAATGAGACAGATACATAAATAAGTTAGATGACATAAAAGAAGTACAAAGGTGTTAGGATTCAAAGCATTTGCTTGCCCTTACTATTAACCCCTTCCCCGGCAGAAACGTGTATACTCGTTTTCACAAAATGTTCTTTTTCAGTCGTCGACGAGTATACTAAGAAAATATGGTAAAAAAATATGGTTTATAGGAAGACAAGCTACAAACTGTTTTCATAACCAGCATCAAAAAATACTATATAGAACCAAAATAAAAAAAATTAGTCTGAAAAAGAAACGTTTTTAACAAAAAAATTGTTGGGGAAGGGGTTAACTTTACTTTATTCTCTAAGGCTATGGTTGGCAAACTGCGGCTCGCAAGGCAATGCTTCCTAACTGCACCTGAAGAAAGTGATAATATTTATAAAGCATTCTGGTTTGTATGAGATTGCTCGAGACCAGTGATAAGTAGCCTGCGGCCTGTGACCCATTGGGAACTAAAGAGATACATACCTGTTTGTATCACACTCGGGCTGCACACGGGTAGCACTTGGGGATCGGCCTCGCTCTCCAGGACACTGTTTGCAGATACCCTTGTTTATGTCATATTGAATATGTAAAAATGTTTTACAGACTTGGTGCCTTCTTTTACTTCAGAATCTTATTTCTTCCTTGCCCAGTACAAAAAAGAACATGAAGTTGAAATTGTTGTGATAGAACCTTTTTCAGTTTGGAGAAGAGACTTAAAATTTATCACAAACCCCCCCGCCCCATTTTTTTTTTTTTTGGTAAAGGATTCTCCAGCTTTCCGTTGTACAAACAGTGAAGCTACAGTCCAGCCAAGTCCCTATCTAAGTTATCGACTGCCCAAGGACTTTGTAGACCTCTCTACTGGAGAAGATGCTCACAAACTCATCGATTTCCTTAAGCTGGTAAGGCCTATGTGTACTTAGCATCTTTGTTTTCAAATTGGCTTTTTAATATTTCATTTTAGTCTTATTCTACTTAGATTTTTAAAAAAATATATTTTTATTGATTTCAGAGAGGAAGGGAGAGGGAGAGAAATATAGAAACAGCCGTGATGGGAGAGAATCATTGATTGGCTGCCTACTGCATGCCCCCTACTGGGGATTGAGCCCATAACCTGAGCATGTGCCCTGACCCCGGGAATCAAAATGTGACCTCCTGTTCATAGGTTAACGCTCAACCACTAAGCTACACCGGACAGGCTCTACCTAAACTTTTATTTTACTTTAGAAGCAGAATTACTGAGGTTGGTCATTTTAAAGTGATCATGTAATATGAACTGAAGGAATAACTTATTTAATAATGAGAATGACAAAAATGTTTTTATGATGTGCATGCTTTTTGCATAGTTTTCACAGTACTTCTAATTTTAAAGAAAGTATGTCTACTAGGGGTTACAGGGCTAAGAGAAGATCAGAGCTGTGCTGTGGTGACTCAGGAAGAAAGTGAATATTTGTATTTGTGTGTGTTTCTGGGTGGGAATGTTTGTACCTGTAGAAGAGAGTATAGAAAATATTCAAAGACCTGAGGGTAATATACCCTGGAGCCAAGTGATAAACTAGTTGAGTAAGTAAGTTCAGGCATGTTTTTCCATGAGAATTTGCCAAGGCCTCTAGAAAATGAAACTTGCTTACAGAACAAGTGACTCCAGGTGAACAAATATGCCAGTTAGAATGTGCTATTTTAATGTAGTCTTGGTTTCCTTTGACAGAAAAGAAATCAGCAAGAGGATGACTGAGTAGAGTGCTGGAGTTCAAGACCAAGTTAAGGAGGAAACCACCGCTCCTTCAGGAACTGTTCATGGTTCACAGCTTCCTAGTAACCCAGTTGGGTGTGCGTGGGGTGGGCAACGTCGAAATCAATCGCTTTTTATATTCATGTATATTAAACTGGGGATAAAAAACAGGGACTTTGCTACTTGTAAAAATAACATAATAAATAGAACTTAAATATAGGAAACCATACTGTTCTGATGATAACAATTTCTGTGAAATACCTTTCTCTTTTGGCTCAGTCTATTTAGATGTATCTATGTTTCTTATGCTATTTTTATGCCTATCAGGTAGATGGGAAATTTTATATTTGTTATAGAAGTGGATTCTTTCCTAATCATTCCTTTTCCATTAAAAAAAAATAGAACCTCATATTACTATAGAAAATACTTTTCCTACTCAGAGGATTTTCATATAATCTTTCTGTCAGTTTAGCTTCAATTTGGGTATAACCAAAAGAATGTAGACATCTCAAACTAAAATAACCTTGAAAATTTCAATATAGTACAGCCATCTTAATATATCCTATGTTAGTAAAACTATCACAGATTTAATTAGAATTTGGCCCTTTAAAAAAATACTGGAATCGTTAGGGGGTAGATTCACTTTTTAGGCCACCATTGTAATTCTTCAGTGGCTTGATTGATGAGGATGATCGTGGTGTCATCCTATTGCCTGGGCACTGACTACATGCAAGACACTGCTATGTGCTCTTTGAGTTATTTTACATCACAGAAGTTTGAAGAGATAGTTGTTACCATTGCCTGGGGTATCTATTTAACATGGTATCAAATAATATTTCACTAGTTGGAGGGATATTTCTTAGCACAGGAGACACATGAGAGCTGTCTAAGGAAGACGCGGAGAGAGGTGAGGCAAAGCCACCTTGTTGGTACAGTTAAGTCAGCTTATGTATAATGCTGCAACAGATCCTTCTCTTTTGCACTGTCTTAAAATTCTGTAGCTTTCTGTGTGGTTTCTCAGTTACAATTCCTTGAGATTCATGTTTTAAATACAAAGATCACGTTGTGATCGTTGTACTCAGTGTATCAAATGCCATTTCTGAGGTCTAATTTTTGCATGAATTTTCTTAGAGAAATTGAGTTCAACTCTCACTTTACATTTAAAATGTGATTTTTGTTCATTGTTTATTAAATTTAGTGGCCCAGTGCACGAATTCATGCACATTGAAAGGAAATTAATTAGAAGAAATATTTTAATATCACTATTCGCCCTTTATATCAGAAATGTCAACCAAATTCACTATCGAAAATGACAGATTGCAACACATGTGTGCGATTTGCACCAGCAAGAGCTTTATATATATCACACATGTGCGAGTCAACTTAGCCTTTTATATATATATATAGATAAACTTGCTTAATTAGACCTCCTTTCTGATGTAGCTAAACTTTTTCCAGCCCAGTGAAGCACCCCAACTTCTCTTTCAGGTAATTGTCAGCAACACAGCAGTAAATATCAACACGAAGCAGATTATTATTGTAGACCATGCAGGGAGAACAAAGGGTAAAATATTGAACTGCAGCAGTGTTTGACTATATTCTGCACAATGAGAAAACCTGGTCATTTTCAAGGTCCACCATTTCTTACTTCTTTTCAGTTGAGTCAAGTTTCTAAGCTTTCTAAATCTCCGTTTTTCAGCTAATGAAAAGCAAATAGGATTCTACTAGGTCTCCTATCTACTTCAGGACTTCTGTGAGGATCAAATGAGATGAGGCATGGGAAAACACTTCACAGACATTTGGTTAAACTGTGAAATGTTTCCACCTGGCTATAAAGCAAGTCATGTTCCTGGGCTAAAAAAACTCCAAGGAGGCTAGTCAGTAGGGAGAAGAAGCTGGGCATTGCTACGTGATGTCATCCAGTGCCCACAGCCACCATTTCCGGCTGGGCTGGGCAGTGGGCCACATCTTGTGCAGTGGGGGCTCAGCTGTGATTTGGTGGGACGTTGCTCCGGGGTGATGGCAGGGCCTGTGTCCCACTTGGGGGAAGCCACGTGTTGCTTTGTGGGCACCAGTTCCACAGTGCCATTTATTGTTAAATGGCCTGTCTCTAGGGAGAGGAAGCCGGGCATTGCTATGTGATGTCATTACCCGGCACCCACAGCCACTGTTTCTGGGCTGGGCTGGGCTGTGGGCCGCATTTTGCACCATGGGGTCTCAGCAGCGTTGTCTGCATTTTGGTGGGGTGTTGCTCTAGGGTGGTGGCGGGGCCTGTGTCCCTCTTGGGGGAAGCCAAGTGTTGCTTTGTTGGCACCAGGTCTGCAGTGCCCTTTCTCTGTAAATGGCCAGTGCATGTCACGGCAGCTCCTGCATTGAGTGTCTGCCTCCTAATGGTCAGTGCATGTCATAGCGATTGGTCGGACACAGCATATTATCCTCTTATATATATAGATTTTAGTATACTATCTTGATGTTAATATTAAATATAGGATAACATATAAGAAAATACTCTCTTAAATTCAAATACCATTTATGCCTATCTAAAGATTATTTTTGAATTATTCTTTTATTCTATGGCATTACCTGTTTCTTTGAAGTACCTCAGGTTTGTGCTTGCTTCTTTTGCCTGGTTCTGAAATCCTGTCTTCTGAAGAGAAGACTTTGCATCTGGTGATTTGGGCAGGTTGGGATAATATGTTTCCTTTGTCCTGCAGGCAGTGGCATGTAACATGGGCCTCTAGTACAGTGGACTTTGCCCAAAAGTTCTGCTTTAAAAAGTCTCAGTTTGATTTTTTCTTTTCTGGGTTCATAATTTTTTCTGTCTACTCAGCTATTTCTTCTTTTGATAATTGAGGATTGTGACTGAAAAAACAAACAGAAATCTTATATGACTGAGTTTGTTGAACTTAAGTTTTTTTTCTTACCTATAAAATTGGAGAATAATAATTAGTATATGGATCTATTAAACGAGATAACTATGTAAAGCTTTTCATATGGTGCATCATACTTAATGAGCCCTAACAATGGTATCGTTATCATTTTGCTCTGCAGGCCTCTGTGTATTTATTAAAGGCAAAGTCTTCTTAACAGAATCAAGAAAACTTTGAGTGGAAAGGGACTTGAGAGATCACTCAGCCCAGTGTCTTTTCCTTTTTTTCTCCTTCCCATCATCCCTCCCTTGCTTTCTTCTTTCCTTTCTTCTTCCTTTTTTTAAAAAAAGTTATTGATTTCAGAGAGGAAGGGAAAGGGAGAGAGAGATGGAAACATCAATGATAGAGAATCATTGATCGGCTACCTCCTGCACACCCCCCCCACCTGGGATTAAGCTGCAACCTGGGCATGTGCCCTGACTGGGAATTGAACCATGACCTCCTGGTTGATAGGTTGACACTCAACCTTTGAGCCACACTGGTTTGGCCTTTTTTTTTCTTTCTTTTTTTTAACACAGGGGAAAATGGTAGTCCTGAGGAGTTGCAACTTGTTCAAAAACCTTAATTGCAGCAGAACAAGGACCACAAAAGAACTTCTAGTCTAATGTCTTCCTCTAAGGGATTTTCAGCCTAATATTTTTTTATAGCTGTTTCAACCAGGACATAATGTAATTTTCAAAAAAGAATTGTTTTTTAAATAAAAGTAAGTACAAATTAATCTCACGCATTTACATATTGTGTAACAAAATAAAAGAGAGGTATTTAATACAGAGAAATTAAATGAAAAATAACTGTGTCTTTGAAAGGTTTAATTTCATTTTTATATTAACCAGGCTGATCTTGAGAGGTGACATAGCCATTTTTAGACTTTTTAAAAAAAATACAAGAAGTTTAGTTAAACAGCAAAACACTTGACATGAAGGTTAAACTATCTAGGACTCATTTCTTTTAGAGTAATTTGTCTCTAGTTAAAGACAGATTGTGCCACAAGTAACAGCTACATACAAAAAGTTATTAAAACTGTCCTTGATTTCACAATGATAATGAAAAATATTAAAATTCTCCAAACGAGGTATGCAAGGATTTTTATGGTTTTTGTTGTTGTTGTTAAACAGTGAGAGCAAAATAACTTACTGGAATCCTATCTAATAAAAGAGAAACATGGTAATTAGCATACAACCGCTACCCTTCCCATTGGCTAATCAGCAAGATATGCAAATTAACTGCCAGCCAAGATGGCGGCAGGCAGCCAGGCAGCTTAAAGTGAACATGAGGCTTGCTTGCTTCAGTGATGGAGGACTCCAATGTTCCCCGCCTGCCGCTGCAGACCTCTGAGCTGCAACTCTAAGCAACTGTTACAAATATAGAAGCTAAACAAAACCCCAGAAACCTGCTTTAGTCCGTTGGGCTTCAGCCAGCAGGATCACAACATTGTTTCAAATACAGAAGGTAAACAAAGGCCAGAAACCTGCTTTCAGCAGCGGAGGCCTAACAGCTGGAGCCAAGCCTCAAAGCTAAAGCTGGCCCAGAATAAAAACAAAAGAAAAAAGGAGCAGTTGGGAGCTTCAGTCACTCGCCAGCCTGAAACAGTCCTCAGCCCCTCACCCAGGCTGGCCAGGCACCCCAGTGGGGACCCCCACCCTGATCCAGGACACCCTTCAGGGCAAACCAGCTGGCCCCCACCCATGCACCAGGCCTCTATCCTATATAGTAAAAGGGAAATATGCCTCCCAGCACCAGGATCAGTGGAGCTGAGAGGCCTCCGGGCACCGGGATCAGCGTGATAGGGGGCAGCACCCAAAGCCCTCTGAACCCCCTGCGGCTCTGTGTGTGACAGGGGGCAGCGCCCCAACCCCCTGACCGGCCCTGCTCTGTGTGTGACGGGGCGGTGCCCCAACTCCCCTATTGGACCTACTCTGTGAGTGACAGGAGGGAGCTCCTCAACCCCCTAATGGGCCCTGCTCTGTGCGTGACAGGGAGGCGCTCCCCAACCCCCTGATGGGCCCTGCTCTGTGGGTGACAGGGGGTGGGACCGCAACCTCCCCATCGACCCTGCCTTGAGTATGACAGGGGGCGGTGCTCCAACCCCCCAATCGGCCCTACCCTGAGCGTGACTGAAGGTGGCATCGCAACCTCCCAATCCGCCCTGCTCTGTGCATGAGGGGGCGGCGCCCCAACTCCCCAATCGGCCCTGCTCTGAGCCCGACCAGGGGCTGCACCTAGGTATTGGGCCTGCCCTCTGCCACCCAGGAGCAGGCCTAAGCCAGCAGGTTGTTATCTCCCGAGGGGTCCCAGAC